ATCGGCTCATGAAAGAGCTTTTCCCATTAATTACCTATAATTCTTAGCAGTCTACATGGGTCTGAAAACCTTTTTGCGCAGCACAACACACACATCCAGTTGCTGATTGATAAAACAACTGCAATTGCAGTCTTAAATCACATGGGGACAAGCCACTTGGACCCTTGCACTTGGCTTGGCAAGGGATGGCTGCAATATTTGGATAGGTGCAAGTCGCATCCCTGGGGTCCATAATGCCACAGCCAACTTAGAATCAAGAAAAACAAATTTGGGCACCAAGTGGATCATTGATAGAAATTTGCTGCAGGGGGCTAGTTCAAAAATAGATTTTCATCCTGATATAGGTCTGTTCGCCTCAAGGCTGAATGTGCAATTTCCATGTTATGTCTCTTTTCAACCTGATCCCCGCGCATTTGCCATTGATGCTTTTACACTGAACCCGTCCCATTTTCAATTCTATGCTTTTCCTCTGTTCAGGGTGATCTCTTCATTACTACAAAAAATTATGGAGGAAAATGCAACCAGGATTTGCATACTCCCGGACTGGCCAATGCGGGGTACCCAAAAGCAATGCAACTGTGTGTCTCAACACCAATAAAACTGGGACTGCAAAAGAACCTGCTGATGCTTCCAAGGCAACCAACAATGCTAGTCTTCCACTTATTCGGGAGCAGCTGAAACATTTGTTCTATCATCAGATGCTGCAAACATCCTTCTTTCCTCCTGGCAGAAAGTACTGGGAAACAATATAATACTTATCTCTCTAGGTGGTTAACATGCTGTCAACAGAAACATCTGCACATGAGCCAGGCTACCATTCATGATGGTCTGGAATTTCTCATGTCTCTCTTCAGACAGGGTTTGGGATATAGTGCTATCAACACTGCCCGCTCCGCACTCTCTGCAATTATCACACTTGGCGATAAGACAACATTTCAAGAGCACCTACTAGTCACCCGGTTTATGAAAGGCATCTTTGAACTTAAACCCTCTCTTTCCTGGTATACGGTCATTTGGGATGTAGGCATTGTACTGGCATTACAACAACTCACTAAGAAACTATGCTACTCGCACTTGCTACTTCACAACGAACCAGACAATTGCGAAACTAAACACACCTTTTATACAGGAACTACCAGACAAACTGGTGTTTATGATAAGAGATACACTCAAAACTAGTCGCCCTGGTAAAACACCAAGCTTTGCCCGGTGACTCACATAAAAGAATACCTTGCTCAGACCCAAGCAATCCACACGACTACCTATTTATTGATCATCTACAAAAAAACCTCACAAAGCTGTCACCAATTCGAGCGTCACTAGCTGGGTAAACTCTATCCTTAAGGATGCTGGAATTGACATTGGTACTTTCTCCACTCAAGAATTATGACAAAAAGCAGAAGCTTGTACATCAATTTGTTGAAGAGTTTGTATTGAGTTTACGCCCTAGAAAAAAATTGCTTAGATATCGTACACTTCGCAGGCAAGTTGTCCCAAAATAGGGCATAAAATTCTCTGATAAGAACCTTAGTTAATCATTGCTCTCAATGTGGTACAAGGGTGAAAGGAAGTGAAAGGAAACAGGTATAGACAGGAATGATTTTACGTTGCTATTAGTGTTCGGATGATTTTATAATGACATTTGTGTTTTTGGATAGAGTTGCATGACAGAGTTTCAGATCAGTCATACTGGAATGCACTGTTTTGTGTCATTAGCAGTCAACTTTAACTTCAATTTCAGTTACGACAAAAAGCAGGAGCTTAATATTTAATAAGCCAACTGCTGAAGAAAGCAGTGTAAAGGAGTCTTTTCAGGAACATCTCAAAACAACCACAAGTGAAGAACTGAAGGATCTGTTAATTTTTGCTGCAGGAGCACCTTGTGTGCCAGATTTTGGTTTGGGAAAGATCAATGTTGAGTTTACTCATGACTCATCAACTTCTTCTTCCACATGCCTTAAAAAGGTCACCTTTCCCAGACAGTAAACTCACATATTTGCAGCTTTTCTATCATTGCAATACTGCAACACCACCTGAGCCCAATTAAACAAACCTTTTTAAACTGTAATTTACAAATCTAGCTGTTGCTTTTTTTGTTTGTGTTGTTTTTTATTGTATTGCCCAATGACCAATTGGGTCAGGTTGGATCAGTTTCACCGGAAAAGTCATTGATGATGATTGACAGGTCTGATCTCCTTTAAACATCTGACTGTTTGTGTGCCTCCCTTTGTACACTCGTTACAGTAAGACATAGAAACAGTTTGTGGGCATCCGTTATTAGCCACAATACACTTGTAACAGATTTGTTTGTCAAGTGATAATATAATAGACTGTAACCATAATATTCATGTATACCAGGACATTAGGCATTTGGAATTGTTACTACAACATGTTTCGTTGCCACAAAATCCAATATAGTGAGATTTACATAACCATGAAAGGACATTTACAGTTATCTTTACAACTAAGCCATAATTAAGTATTTCTTGACACTTAAATTCTTGCTTGGCACGAATTCCTGTTCCCATATAGCAACAAATTATTGGTGCTGTACCATACATATACGCAGTTTGGGTTTAGATGCTGACAAATTTTGTTCTTCTTAAAGTTAGTTAATGTTGTATTGGTAGAAACATTCATCATTGACTACCAGAAACGCTTTTCAGTGTCATGAGTGTGAAGCAATCGTTTTAGCACTGAACCTGATAATCTGCATTCCACAGCAATTTTAAATAACTTTTGCAGAATCGTTATTCTAGAATATCTTTGGGTTTTTCTAGCAACTATGAATTTAATTACTTGTTCAAAAATCATTTGCCCTCATTATCTTTCTACTTTTGGATGTTCTTAAAACAAAAACAATTCTTGACTTCTTGTATCTGACTTTGTTTGCAGATTAAGGTCTTTGCTTAGGTTCAGTATTTCAGTGTTACAGTTAATGGTACAGTTACCATTATGCACAAGGAATTATGCAGTAATTCCACTGTATATTGTAACAAGAATAATTTTCTAAACTTATAATTTTGATATACTTCCCTGAGAATTTCATATTATCATTGTAAATAACAATAAATACAATTTTATTTTGCATCGATTCCCAGACCAAAACATATAGTGAAAGAAAACAACCAGACAAACCAAAACTACTTGAAAGCAAAAGTTTCACCTTCCAAAGTGGTAAATTTGCTCTTGTAGTAGTAAGTGATATAGAGACACAAAGTAAATTGCTCCTTTCTGTGCATTAATCATAGTAAAAATGGAAATGTACGAACTTGACAAAATAAATCTTAACATTCTGTAATAAACATGTGAATGTTCTCATCAAATCTTTTTAACAGTCACTTGACATGATAGTGTCTGCAAAGAAGGAATGCTGTCAGACCATTTCTACTTACATGAATTGCCAGCAAAAACTGTATTTTTGTGTTCAAGGTTTTTAAGAGAAATATGTTTTCTTGTTATTGTGTTTGAGGTACGAAAATGCAACCCCTAATAAGGGATAGGGAACCTTTCCGAATTCCTGTTAAAAGAGTCCTAAGAAAGTTGAAAAAAAGAACCACGAGACACAGGTTAAAATGTTGCATTGCAAATAGTCTTCCTTGCACCTCTTTTATGAACCGTTTGTGTAAGAATTACAAGAATTGGTTCCTTTGATATAACACTGAACATTGCTATTTCGAATATGTGTCCTTCATGATGGTTTACAAGTGTAAATCAAGATATTCGATTGGTTGCAGTTACAGAAATGTATATAGCTCAATTACAGCAACAAAATCAGTTGTTAGACATTATGACATTTCTGACAATGGCTCAACATTGAGAGGAGGCATGCTTTCAAAAAAATCCAGTTGTAAGTCAGCTTGGGCTTGCATAAATGATAGATTTGCAAGGTTAAGCTTAGTGGCATATGATGTTGGTGGGAATGGTGATTGCTTTTTTAAGTCTGTTTCTGATCAACTCTACGAAACTGCAGACTTGCACTTTAAAATCAGAAAAGCTGGAATTCAACACCTGGGTGATTCCACGTTACGGACATTACATTCAGAGACTAAAATTAACATTTTAAACCCCAATTTAAATGTCAAGATGTTCAACAAGGGTGTTCAAACATATCTAGAAAATACCTTTAGTGTGCCCTTTGCACCTAATAAAAAGATGCTTTAGTCAGCTCTCAAGACCTTGAAGGTACGAGTTGAAGAAAGTGTGTTGCGGACATTACATTTCAAACAACCACTTTTTAAAAGTAACTTTCTTTAAAGAGATTTTTCTGTGAATCTTTAACCTTGAGCATAAAATAATTGTGCTTTCAAAACATGGCAATAATTAAATTTTTCACCTATAAAAACAAAATTCCATGAAACCTCATTCCAATGATTCTGCAAACAAAAGCTTTGTTTTGCGGACATTACACAAAATTGTTGTGGACATTACATTTTTGGGAACATATTTTTTATCATTCACTTTCAAGTCATTGTTGCTGACTGTGGCTATGTCCATTTGTTCTGTAGTTACTTGTCTAAAAATGAAGCTGTAAAATTATCATTTACTTCATTTATGATATATTTCTCCTGCTGACCTAGTATCATGCAATACCAGTCAGATTTTTTTAAAAAATAATACTCATTCACATTTAAGTAGAAAATTGAAAGAAGCTTGCAATGATGGTCAGTGGCTTTCCTCAAAAAGCATGCTTACAGACAGTTTTGAGCATGCTCAGAAGTACAAAACCCCTGACCAGCTACGCAATTCCCACTTATCCATGTCTATAAATTAATTGCAAACAAGGTCAATTTTGTTATTGCAATGCCCCAGAGAGGTAGTGAAATAGCACGAAAATTTAGAAAAAAGTTAAAAGAGAATTCAAAGTTGCATGAAGTCTACAAAACCAAAGATAGAGAAAGAAAAAAAGCCGAAAGAAGGAGGCCTAGGTTTCAGAGTGCAGCTGAAATTGCCCAACAAAGGAAGTTGAATCGGGACTCGACCGGGTCAGGAAACATAGAATGCTTAAGAAGGAAAAGAGAAAGGTACAGCAAGAAGGTCAAGACCAAGGTATAAATCCTTATAGTACACCACAAGCACTGGGAAAGGCTGTTGCAAAAGTTAAGCCATACTTACCAGAAAGCCCAAGAAAGAGAAAAGCTGTTGTAGAAAAATTAGCCTCTTCTACAGGCATTCACCTTCCAAAGAAAAGAAAAAAGGGATTTGGTGGAAACTTACACCTGAACCCAGAAGTAAAACAGAAAGTCTACTTATTTTATGTGCAAGACTCAATTTCTAGGCAATCCCCTGGAAAAAGAGACTTTGTGGTTAGCTGGAAGACTGGCAAGAAAGAGCACCTTCAAAAGAGGCATCTCCTTTTTTCCTTGAGAGAAGCACATGCACTTTTCTTAAAGGAAAATCCTGAGGTTAAAATTGGGTTGAGTAAATTTAGCTCTCTCCGCCCTCTCAATGTTCTTCTTTCCTCTGGAATTCCTAGAAATGTGTGTTTGTGTCAATATCATGAGAGCATTAAATTGATTTGTGATTGCCTTAAGAAAGAGATCCCCAAATTTCCAAACTATTCTGGTGATTTTGTGGAAAAATTTGTATGCAGTTCTGACTCCGAGGCTTGTATGTTTGGAAGATGTGCCAAGTGCCTAGACTGGCTTAAAACCATTACAGAGGAAGTAGATTTAGAAGGGCCTGCCACACGGTATGAATGGAAGCGTGTTGAAACAGTGTCACCAACTGCCAGTAAGAAAGACTCAAAGACCATGAAGGTTGTGAAGAAAGTGAAAATAAGCAAGGAGGGAACCATTGGTGATGCAGTAGAATCACTTCAAGGCAAGCTTCCTTCATTTCTAGCGCATGTCTTTATCAAGAGACAGCAATCCAAATTTTTTGAGGAAAGGCTAGCCAAACTTGGTCTAAGTGAAGCTGTCATTCAAGTAGATTTTGCGGAGAATTACACTTGCAAATATCAGGATGAACCCCAGTCAGCTCATTGGAACCAAGAACAAGTAACACTCTTTACTGTGGCCATTTGGACCAAAGAAGCTGCAGGTGTGGATAATGTATGTGAGTCCCACGTTATTGTCTCTGATGAAATGATGCATGACAAGAAAGCAGTGGCAGTGTTTATGTTTCACGTTGTTGGGTTGATTTTGAGCTTCGCTTAAAATGTTTAATTCGACGCGCGCAACCTTTATTGTTATTACGTGTCGAAATAGATCATATTTTAGTTAATTATTAATGTAGCTCTATATATACCGCTACGTACGTGGTAGAGACAATTATTAGATGTATGATTCGTTCAGTGTAAAGTTAGTCAATATTTATCCTAAAGATCGCGAAGTTAATTTTCTTTAGAAACATGTCGGAATCTAAGCACAACCTTCGTTCTCGTAAGCACCTCAACTACGCCTCGATAAACGCTGGGAAAAGTGTACAATTCCCAGCATACGGATTTTCTCCTGACCCTCGTCCTCTCCAAGCGCCAGTCGGAGACAACACACCTCGCGTTCATCAAACACATGATTTCACCGAAACCAAACGTCTGTTAGAAGAAGAAAAAGAAAGAAACACAGTCCTTGAGGGGACCTCCCAGCTAGAGCAAGTGAGAAAAGAACTGGAGGCGCTTCGCACCAAAATGTCAAGCAAGTCTATGTGTTTTCAGATGGGCCCAGCTCTCAATTCAAAAACAAGTGCATTGCTCACTTTTTCCACACGCTGAACAAGATAGTTCCTATCCAGTGGAACTATTTTGCCACATCCCATGGTAAGGGTGTTGTTGATGGGATTGGTGGTACCGTAAAATGCCTCGTCTCCAATGCAGTGATGACAGGAAAGTCACCTGTTGTTGCTGATGCCAAGTCCTTTCACAGGGTTGCAAGCAGCCTTACATCATCAGTAACTGTTTCACTTGTAAGCCAAAAGGAAATCAGTGATACCTCAGATTTACTGTCTCTTGAGAAATGCTTCAGTGAGGCTCTACCTCTTCCTGGAATCTCAAAAATGCACTGCATAGAGCCTCGCAAAGATGGAACTTTGAACTGTTGCTTGTATTCATTCCAGAAATTGATTAAAAACAGAGTCCCAGATGTCTTTCCTTATCAATCTGATGATGATGATGATGATGATGATGATGATGACACCATTTCAGAGACCTTCTGTAAGGAGGCAGTCAGTTCAGATGATGATCAGGGTGAAGACAGTGACTTTAGCAGTGCAGCTTCATGTAGTGACGAGATCAGTCAAAAGGGCAAGCATGAAAATAGTGAAGAGAGTGCTGGGGGTGAAGGTGATGTGGAGGTAACAAACAGTTCAAAGAAAGAAGTAAATTCTAACTGAGAGTGGCAGCTCCACCATTGATGTAGAGTATGGATTACCCCCAGAGCTTGTCACTAAATTCAGTTGCTCAGTGCCCTTTACCCTTCCACCTCACAAGACTGATTTGGTTGCTGCTATTCTTGACGGTTATGTGAGCTTCAATGGAAAGGGTATCATCTCTCCTAGTGACCTCAATTCCCTGCAAGGTGGTAATATGGTAGAAGAAGATAACTATCTTACCAACTTTATAGCTGATACATATTTTGAAATTACTCAAGCAGCCAGAGCCGATGGTTCCAAAGTGGTTGTATTTCCATGGGAAGCATTTGAGAAATCAGCAATCAAGTTGCTTTTTACAAGAGCAACGGATACGTTATTGGAGCAAGATATAATTCTTGCCCGTTCCTGTCCTATAACAACCGACCATTGGTTTCTTATTGCAGTATTCCCTCAGAAAAATTTAATGGTTGCCCTGGATAGCTTGGCTGGTGATTTTGTGAAGCCAAGTGTGAAGGCATCAATGTTGAAAATGTGGGAGGTACTGGAGAAGGTTGATAAAAATCTGGATGTGAGTCAATGGCAGTTCGCTGTAAATAAGCCAAATGATCTCCCACAGCAATCTAAGCTCTATCCACACGCTAGACTATCCACAGTGTCTGTCTGTCCACCGCCAACCTCGGTATTTGGCGGGTTAAGCTATCCCATACCATCAAAAATAGCGAATCCTTCAGGCCTGATGGGCTTAAAACGAGACTAGAGCGTCGTCTTGAAAGGGAACATAGAAACATCGGTATGTGGTGAGGATGCATGCGGTTAGCCGGTGCAGAGTTGGTTGACTATGGTAGAGTCGGTAAGTTACTATCATGTAAATGGAAAGTCATATGTTGGGCCTGAAGCTAAATAGCCAAATGCCTCGTCATCTAATTGGTGACGCGCATGAATGGATTAACGAGATTCCCCCTGTCCCTATCTACTATCTAGCGAAACCGCAGCAATCTACTATCTACTATCTAGCAGAACCGTTTTGGAGAAGTCTATTTGAGCGAACTTTGGTACCTGACAATAGGTGTCCGCAGCCTGTGGGGCCGCCAAAGTGGGAACTTATGGCTGCAATAACAACTGAGGATGTTGAACGGTCTCTGATGGGGATGAAGGATGGAGCGCCAGGGCCAGACGGCCGAAAGCTAAAAGACGTGAGAGCTATCCCACATGACCAGCTGTCGGCACACTTCAATCTGTGGCTACTATCAGGCTACCTGCCGAGTACTTTGAGAGAAGGCGAGACTGTGCTGCTCCCTAAGGAGGATATCCAATATCGTGGTGAGATGTTTCCATAGGATTATGGCACAACAGATGGAGATGCATCTTCCACTCAGTCTCTGCCAGAAGGCTTTCCAGAGAGGTGACGGAATAGCCGACTTGGTATGGTTTATGCAGACTGTTATCAAACACCATCAAGATACTCTCTGCCCTCTCAACATAGCCTTTATGGACATGAAGAAGTCCTTCGACTCTGTATCTCAGCAATCCATCTTGGTCGCGGCCGCTCGCTTAGGGGTTCCACCGCCTTTCCTGACCTATCTGCCTGAGCTGTATGGCGATGCGCAGACTAGGCTTAGGATCGGCACCAAGTTGAGCGAACCGATTAAGTTGGGGAGGGGAGTCAGACAAGGAGACCCGATGAGCGTTCATTTATTCAATGCCATGATTGATTTGTCGCTCGACAGCCTAGGTCCGGAGCTTGGAACGGAGATCGGAGGTGTAAAAGTGAACCACAACGCCTTTGCGGATGACATTGTGTTAATCGCAAGGTCCCCGGCTGGACTACAGGCGCTGGCTGATGATCTGGACCGCCAGCTAACCCTGTGTGGACTGGAACTCAGTACCGGCCTGCAAGGAAAGTCGGCGAGTATCCGCTCGGACATAGATGGCAAGGCGAAACGCTGGATCGTGTATCCATATCCGTACCTTCGGGTGCGAGGCGAGTTAGTTCCAACCCTAACTGTTAGCCAAGTCTATAAGTACCTCGGGGTCAACATCAGCCCGCAGAGTACTAAGGCGACCGTTGCGGAGACCCTTCAACAGGGCTTGAGTAACATCAGTAAGGCCCCACTGAAGCTGCAACAGAGGCTTTATATCGCCAGTTGTCATCTGGTTCCCAAGATATTACATCAGCTTACTTTAACACCCTCAACCTCCAAGTACTTGCGATGGCTCGATCGTCAAATGCGATCTGCTGTTAGGTCTTGGCTGAAATTACCGAAGGATACCTCAATCGCCTATTTACACGCCAGGGCGGTTGATGGTGGTCTCAGCCTTCCTTTGCTAAGGCACGAAATTCCACTCATGAAAAGAGCGAGAACAGCTAGAATGGCTATGTCTCCAGACCCAGTGGTATGTGCTATGCTGGAAACCCCAGCCGCACGTAAAGTCCTTAGAGCTAGGCAAACCTCTCTGAACGGTACTGTCGTGGCGATACGTCAGGGCCTTAGGAGTGCGTTGCCCCAACAACTATATAGCTCTGTTAATGGGCGAGGACTGGCGCCAGCCCCACAGGTACCCGCGCAACATAGGTGGGTTACCGCTGGAGACATGACTCTTAATGGACACGCTTATGTCGGGGGAAACTTGGTTGCTACAGCCCTAAGATCGGCTAGAGGTCGTCCCCAAACTGACATCAGGTGTGACTGCT